ACTTCAGCCCACACAACATCCTCGTGTCAGTCCTTGGAGCATCCCTGCTGTGGGTCGGATGGTTCGGTTTCAACGCTGGCTCGTATCTCTCTGCGCACAAGATGGTGAGGGAGCGGCTGTCGACCTGACGGAGCTTCTGACTTGGTGAGCTGCAGACGGCCATGGCAATGGCGGTGACTCAGATCTCGACCCGCCGTCTCCGCCCTCGCCTGGATGTGCACAGAGTGGATCATGCGCAAACGCCCCAGGTGCCTCTCCCCATTCCTTGCTCTTCTTCCTCGGATAACGCCCTGCCGGCAGTGTGCCGGGCATCCCCCCCCCCCCTCCCCCCCCTTTCCCCCTCCCCTCCTCCTCCTCCTCCTCCTCCTGCTTCTCTGAGGTCGCCTGTAGCTACAGCATCGCTGCACTTGCTGTCTTGTATGTGATCTACACCACGGGCACCAGCGTGTACAGGACGTTGTATCCGGTGAGCAGTTGATGTCAAGAGCACGCGAGGATTGTCAGGGTGACGAGGAGGAGCAGGAGCGATTGTCGTCTTTCAGAGTGGAGGCAGACAGCTGGGGGAGAGGGGGGAGAGGTTCTTCAGACCTACTGTCAATCATGGACATCAAGATACAGCTGTAAGAACAAGATGATGATGATGATGACGATGATGATGGTGATGATGACGATGTTGATGTTGTTGTTGTTGATGATGATGATGATGATGACGGGGACGGGGATGGAGATGGAGATGTTGCAAAAGGAGCAGGAGGAGTAGAGATCTGATCGAGGAGGTGAAACCTGGTTTCAGGTGGCAGCGAGTGGTGGAAGATGCTATCAACCAGGGCATGCAACTTGATTCAAGGTGATGAGGACGGATGGAAGGGATCGAGGGGGGAGGATGAGAGTCGAGGGGAAGGAGCAGGAGAGGGAGGAGGACGGGGGGAGGGAAGAGGAGGATCTCTGAAACTGTTTTCAGCTGCCCCAGTGCGCGAAGTCTCGTGGTGCAGGTAAGGAGAAGCAAAGGGGCGAGGATGGAGGAGGAGGAGAGAGGATGGAGGAGAACGTGTAGCAAGGATTCTGAGATGGTGAGCAGGCAGCGCATGCAGACGCGATGGTTGAGCTCACACAGAAAGAAATCGACTCAGTGAGGACCCTTCCGCTCTCCTTCTCCTCCTTTGTCCTTACCCCTTCCGCTCTCCTTCTCCTCCTTTGACCTTACCCCTTCCTCTCTCTCCACGTCTTCCCCTCATTTCATCCCCTTCTCGTCGCTGAGATGTCCTCAGGTGGAGATAAGGTTGAACTCGCTCAAGAGACAACTGTCAAAACAACAAGAGCAGGTTCCTCCCCCTTCTTCTGCCCCTCCACTCCTCCTCCTTCCTCCTCTCCATCCCTCCTCCTCCCCCTTCTTCCAATCCCTCTCCTCACTTTGCCCTCGTTGAAACTGATCACAGGCGGAGGAGCTGAAAAAGCTGCTGATGAGAGGAGGTCAACGACTCGAGGAGGGAACGACAGTCAATAGATGACAAGATTTCTCCTTTCTAGACTGCTTCTCCTGCCCTTCCTCCTGCTCTCCTCCTCCCGCCCTCCTCCTATCCCTCTCCTCCTTCACTCCCTCTCCTTCACTCGCTTGTTTTCATGGAGTGTTACCCGATGGAGGAACATTGACCCCTACCTTGAGCACCCCTACCCTCTCATCGTCTGTCCTTTTAATAATAGAGTACCCCCAACTTCAAATGATTTGACCCACCCCTACTGTCTCCCCTGGTGAACAAAGAAATGCCCAGGGAACAAACGAAAGCTGGTAGTCATGGTAGGGGAACAACGGGTATGGCAGGGTGCCAGGGCGACGAGGGAGGAGGAGGAGGAGGAGGAGAGGGAAGCTGTAGTGAGACAGTAGGTTGAGGAGAACACGCGAATGGTCGAGGAGGAGCACTAGGTACAAAGCTCAGGATGAGGAGGGGGGAGGGAGGGAGGGAGGAGGTGGTGCAGAGAGTGGGGAAGGGGAAGTGGTGGTGTGAATCAAGACGGAGTTAAACACAAGCACCTGACCTTGCTTCACAGATGGGAAGCTCGAGTTGACGCCCTCCTCCCTGAACTTCAGCATGAGGCACCCGCAGGGTGTCACGAGCGGGGGAGGAGGAGTTACATCTTCACGACAGCACAAGAACTCTCCGCTCGACCGACTGAAAGGAGCAGGTGACCGTATCGCCAAGTCAGGTCAGATCATCGCCAAGTCAGGACAGAAACTAACAGAGAAGATGGTGTCCGCCGCCGCCGCCTCTGCCCCGTCCTTTCCGCATCTCTCCTCCTCCTCCTCCTCCTCCTCCGTCCAACAGTCCCTCTCAGAGGAAGACCTTCTCTCCGACCGGCAGCAGGGCTCGGAGAACGACTGGGTACACATCAACATCGCTCCAGTCCCCTCCCCTCCTGTCGACATCTCCGGCGCCCATGGCGCATCGCGCGACTGGAGTGTTATCTTCGACGTTTACAGGGAGGAATACACTCAGCAAATCCGCGCGCTCCAGCAGGCGGCAAGGGCAGACGGATCTGCTGCCATGAAGAATGCTCTGCGAGGGTTCCAGAGGAACCAGACCATGTGCGAGGAGATGGCGGCGGCACGAGACCGGCAGGACGGTCCGCATGCAGAGATCTTTCGGGCGCATGCGGAGGTGATGGAGAAAGTGATCGCTGCTCGTGAAGCCTATCACATGTGAGGAGAAGGAGGGAGGAAGAGGAGGAGGAGGAATATCAGGGGACGGGGTAAGGGGGAAGGGGGAGCTGGGGAATACCATAGGAAGGAGGAAGGAGTGATTCGACTTGGCAGTTTCGAAACTGCTCATCGGAGCATCTCGAGCGTGGAAAATCCATCTCTTGATTTCAGAAAACGGGTGAGATGATAATGATAATGACAATGATAATGACGATTACGATGATGATGATTGTGGTGATTTCGATGATTGTGCGATGATGTTGATGATTTCAGGTAGTTGAGTTAGGAAACATCGCGATGTCAAGTTTTCAGAGTCTGCAGGTACGTTTACCTCTCTTCTCACACCCGTGTCATGGTTGTCCACAGACAGAAGCTCTTCGACTTCGGCAGGTCGTCGAGAGAAGGTGGAAAGAGGAGGGTCGAGCGATGGGAGCAGCTCAATGCGGTACAGGACGGCAAATCAAGACAACAACTCCATTCTCTACTCAGGTTGTCTCCCTTCCTCGCCTTCTTCTTGCGATGATTGCTTCTTGAAGGCCTGTTGAAACTCGTGCTCAACTTCCTGCAAGAGAGAGTTGGAACTCTCGGACAACTGAAACAGGTGCAGTTAGAGAAGATGATAAATATATGACGATGAAGTTGACCATGATCTCAAAGATAGTGATGAAAATTGTGATGATGATGATGATGATGATGATGATGATGATGATGATGATGATGATTGGAATGGGGATGGGGATGGGGATAATGAAAGTGACACAATGTTCTTGCAGGAAGCAGCGAAGATGTTGATGAGACCAGAACCAGGTCATAAGGAGAACGAAAGCACCAATCAGGTGAATGTCGACGATGAGCAACGAGATCATCCTCTTGTCTCACCCTTGTTCCTTCTTCAAGACATCAAACAGCAGGAAGGAAGCCTCTACTGCACCAACTCTTCAAGAACATGAGCCATGTGCGTTGTTTCCTTGTTCTACATTCTCCTGACTTTCTCTCCGTTCCTGCAGCTCAACAGACTGCGGAGGTCAACAGGTCCATTGTCTGTCATCTTCATTCTTTTCTGACGATGCAATCACATCAGCTCCTCACCTTCTCCCATCCTCTTCGGAGTTCTCGACAAGCTCGACGACAGGCGTTGGACGAAGCGATGTTTCCTTGTGCGATTGCCTCCTCCTCCTCTTCCCACTCCTCCCCCTCCCCCTTCCACTCGCTCTCTGCTCCTCTTCCTCCTCCTCCTTGTTGGTCATCCTTTGCTGCTCTCCTGACATCTAAGTCAGCTGCTTGCCGACGGAACCTTCAAGGATACCAGTGGAGACTTCACCGTGAGCTGTCCTCTTCCGCTCTCCCCCCGCCTCCCTCCTCTCTCCCTCCGCTTCCTCCCCTCCAGCCAGTTGGTCTCCCTTTTGTCTTTTCCTCATCCTCGCTTGCAGCTTCAGCTCTCTTCAGAGTCCAAGGCGACTCAGGTGAAGTGAGAGGAAGCGGAAGGGGTTGGAAGAAGGGAGTCAGAAACGAGGAGCGAGAACTAGGACTGTGGAAGAGGAGGAGGAGGAGGAGGAGGAGGAAGAGGAGGAGGAGGAGGAGGAGGAGAAGGAGCACTGAACTGTGGCCTCAGATTCTGATAGGGCTGGAGGGGAGGGAGGAAGGTTTGCTGCTGCAGCAGTCGAGCACGGAGAGCTTCATCTTCGCTGCTGCTAGTGCTGACGTCAGCATGCGGTA